CGCGCACGCGCCGCGCGCGCACATATACACACACACACACACACACGCGCGCGCGCGCGCGCGCGCGTTCGCAATAAAATAAGTATATATAAAAAAATTTTTCTCTTTCTTTTAAAATATGTTACAATTGTGTATGCATGTGTACGTGCGTGTGCAGCACGTACGTAGCGTAGTGCAGCACGTACGTGTGTAGCATATATACATTACGCATACATACACAATTGTAACATATTTTAAAGGAAATAGAAAAAAATGTTTAAAGGGAGAATCTCCAAACAATCTATTTCTCAAAATTAATTAAAGAAGCTGTACTTGAAAAAATAAATTTCTCGTAAAGAAAAATTTATAAATTTATCATTAAAAAATAGAATATAAAAAAAGGAGAGACAGCGAGATATAATGTCAGAATAGAACGTATAAACGCAGTTCTCACCTGGACGTGACGCAACGTAATCTTTTCACACTCTGCGGCACATCGTACACGCCACCACGTTAAACACCGTCACCACTATTTCGTTTTGCGAGAGAGCTAACGATCACCACTCGGCGGTCCTAGCTGCAAGCTCCTGGACCATATCCTTACGAACAACCACTAGCTCCGCTGCAGCGATGGCACTGACTGCTGGAAGGTGAGGGCAGACAGGGCGCGCAGGGCAACGAGGCACAGGGTGGAGAACAGAGGTACAACAGGCAGTGGGGACAACGCGCAGGGCGTGCGGCGTGCGTCTCGGATTTTCAAATCGATTGCAACGCGCCGCCGGGTAATGGGCCAACGAAGCGTAGAATGATAAAGCGAGAGAAAAAGAGAAGACGTCAGAGAAATATAAGAGAGAGAGAGAAAGTGAGAGAAGAACGAGAGGGAGACAACACCGTCGTTGACAGCAATAGAGGAACATCCCGAAAGAAGATAGATTGTCGACTCGATAGATAAAGAGTGGTTCCTAAAGAAACGAAGCGGAAGAAGAAAGATTACGTCTTTATTAAAGATTGAATTTTAATTGTAGAAAGAAAGAAAAAAAAGAATAAAGAGAAATGTATAGAAAGAATTAGTGTCAGATGATGCGCAAGCATGGTCGACGATCAAATCGTGTGTGCGTTTGTTCGCACATGAATTGTTCATCTAGGTTTTCAAGGTTTCATTTAAAGAAAAGTAAGAGGTTTAGCGTGTCAAAACTGACACGGATCATCAGTTTTAAGGTGAGACGGAAAACAAAAGATTCGTGCAATTCGTCATGTTCGCAGAAAGATTTCGCAGGGCGTGATATCGATTAGAGAACACTTGTTGCGGACGAATGAAAAGCATGAGATAAATATGCGAAGCGCGAGGTTACGTTCTCCGGAAGAAGCAGACCATCAAACGAAAGATTTATACCAGTCTTTTAATAACAGTCGAGAGAAAGAAAGAAAGACGATCACTCGTGAATAGAAAACGCGTGTGGCAACAAAGAGAGGTAGTTAATTATCGTAAAAATGCTTTCTTTTCGCACCGCTGGTGTGAAAAAACATTCCGCTAATCACTTTGAGAAAGATGGACGCGCGCAAACATCCTGATACTCGTGTTTCCCATATAACGTTTGTCTTTGTACCTTTGTATCTTTTCATTTTTAGTCGCAATAAATATTAGCCTTTGTTGATTGTTGAATGGAAAGAGGACCAAGAAAGAATTGTTAGCGTAATTTATTACCGATCTGCATTTGCATATGATGCCGTTTTAATCATATGACTTATGGACCAATCAGCATTACCATCATCTGCAACTTATATAATATTCTGAAACGATTTCTTTTGACGATGATGAAATTGCAGTATAAAAGTGAGAAATAATTTTCATGAAAAATAATTTTTTTATTTATGAAATCGTTTTTTAAAACATTGTTTGAAATATAGCAATACGTTCGTTCATGTATAATCTAAAACTTATAAAAAATACAAAAATCCTAGAAAAAATATTTCTAAGTTGTACACAATTCTAGATAAAGCATATATTTTTTCCAAAAGTTATCATGCAATTAAGATTGAAATGATGTTTTTTGTTGAAAATATCATCAAAAGATAAAGTGATGAATCTGCGCAACCAAGATTACATAATTTTTCTTAATAAAATAATTCTCAATGTTTCTTACGATTAAGAGAAGTCAATTAAGGATTGATTTATGTAGGCCGTAATCTGTTAACTTATGCCGTAACCGTAAAAAATTGACCAATCACAATCGAATTATAAAAGAATAATCGACTATGATTCGTCAACTTTTTACGGTTACGGTAAGTTAACAGATTACGGCCTCCATAATCCCAATCGTAACTCGATTTAAAAAATATCGCGACATCTATCATTAGTAGATTAAATTTAAAAGTTCTAAATATTATCATCCTAAAGTTATCTTCTAGATATTATCATACTCGTAAATGTAACCATACGATAGTCAATGATAACGATATCTAAAAACTCAAATTTGTAATTTTATAAAATTATCATTCAGAATCATCGAACTGTCTCAACGGGAATGAACGGAACTATTTTTGAGTCATGTGACCCGATCTGAAAAGAAATTGTAACAGAACATTCGTCTCTTCATCATATAGATTTTATCTGTTACGAAAAAAATGTGATAAAGAGTAAATATGCTACATGAGAAACAAGGATAATGTTATGTTTGACAATGATCTTATGTTTGAAATGATAACTTTATGTTTTTGTCTAATTGATAAGTTTGGCTGTTATAAGTCTATGCTTATTCCAAATAGGAATTCAATGTTTAGAACTACATCTCCTTTGTTCTTTCAATATTTCAATATTTTCCTAAGCATGATTGGCCTCTCATTTTTTAATCGTTACATCGGACTGTACTAGAATTTTTTCTTTTTCTCTTTCGCCAAATTTATATATATATATATATATTTTTTACATGTACATGTACGTGTCTTATTTTAAATATAATGAGGATACGCTAGCTCTTTTGAACTACGAAGAATAGATTTCGTTATACCATATTATACTCCTGGCACGTAAATTTCTAGATTTCTGGATCTAGATTTATCTTTCTTGAGAGAGAACGACCATCAGGCCTCTTGGTCTAGGGGTATGATTCCTGCTTTGGGTGCAGGAGGTCCCGGGTTCAAATCCCGGAGGGGCCCGTTTTTTTAATTGCAAATTTTATTTTTTATATTTTTCATTGAAATACATATTAAACATACAAAAATTGGATGAAAATGAAGAGAGGAATCATATTCACATAATTTATTTCTTTTTACTCTACGTTTTCTACGCTTCAAGTTTACAGCTTATGTACTTGAGAATGCGCGAAACCTCTTTCCTCATGCGCGAGAGAGTCCACGAAACGCAACAGACGCGAGACTGCATTGTGATTGGCTACAACGGCACTAGATGGCACCAAATGACACTAAGCGACAGGCGACACCATAGTCACTAGTGGCCACACCGCGGAAGATACGCATGACGTATGGCGCATGCTCGAGTTTCTCGATGGTCGGGCAAAAACACAGCTGGTCTACAATCCTCGAAGCGAGCTGACGGTCGAACGGCTATCAATGTAATTTCCACGAATTTGTACCGACTTGTCGGAGCCGCGAGCGCCGAGGCTCGCACCAACGTACAGGAAGCCAAAGTCCGTCGATCGCGATTGTCCCATAGTGATAGTAGTGAACGGTGCGAGTGCATTCGCCCGATGTAGCCTGGAGAACAACGCGGTGTCGCATCACGAGGATTTTTCACCTCGCTTGGCCCTGGAACAGGCTACAAAGCAGTGGATACAAAGTTCCGCCACTGTTTCGACACATCTTTACCGTAAGTAATTCTCCTTCTTGCTCGTTCATCTCCCATGTAGATACTTTTCGCTTTTTCCGACAAGATTTCTTTCTAACCTTTCGTTCGGTAGGTCAAAACCTAGTGATTCAGGTCGCGTGACGCGAGATCCCGTTTTTCGAATCTACTCCGTCGCGATTGCGATACATCATGACCAAAAACTCCAAGATCGGACTGGCCTGCGACGGACCTGCGCTACAAATCTTTACGAAAAGATACACGAATCTTTCTGAATATACGTCGCGTTTCCTCAAGTCTTCCATTATCTTATCTTTTTTTTTAACGCTACGTTTCTCGAGTTGCGCTTCGTCGAACAACGTTGTTCCGCGAGCTTATCTCTACGAGCGCTCGCAGTGCCTTGATATTTCTTGACCTCTGTGTGTGGTGTTTTTTCCCTAGTTTTATCTTACAGAATATTCAATTACTTTCTTTATTGATGAAACGTTCTGTCTGGTCTCATATATTTTCTATTAAAACAATTTATTCATTTTCGTACGAGAAAATAATCAAAACTTTGAACTATTAATTTCATCCAGAAAGGATATAAAAATGATTAATTGAATTATTTGAAAATGACAATTCATATAGATTTACGAGAAAATTGAGATTTCTAATAAAAAGAAAATGTTGAATGAAGAATTTTGTAAATATTATAATTTATAATATGTATACATGATTTAGGTTGTTTGGTTTCTCTCTTAGATTCATTGCGCGCGCGCGCGCACACACACACACACACACACACACACACACACGCGCGCGCGCGCGCGCGCGCGTAAGAATTTTGTGGGATGAACATCGTCATTATTTCATGATCACGCATTAATCTCAGAATTTCAAACTGTTGTGGAATATAAAACAGTTGCGCATATTTCCAATTTAATCGACGAAAATTCAATGATGAAAATGAAACGATGAACAAGAATATTCCTGCAAATAGACAATTTTAATCGTCCATATATTACATGAATCGCGTTGACCTGTATCGCGTTGTATGCAAAGTTGATGTAATTTTTGTTGGCTCTAGTAACTCTAATTGTTATATCAATTAACATAGATGGTTGGCCCACGCAAACATCCGTTAGATTGATGCGCACGTATAAGTAAAGCGATTTCTTTGCTGTACATACAATTTTCTCGTACATCTATACGAAGAAAGGATCCGCTAATTTTCAAAAATTTTTTTATTCATAAAAACGTTAAAATAAATATTGTAAATACGCATCATTGTATTCGATAATTGGTAAGATAGTATGATACTTGTAGTTGTTACGTGAGCTTCGAGAAAAGGAGAAATTTTCTAAATCGGTTCTCCTTGATTTTGAAACGTATCTTCGAAAGTCGTAACCATTAAAATTAAAAGTCACGTATTTACTGTGCGTTTCTTGATTTTAAGTAGTCGTTTCGTTATCGTGACAGTTACGTAATGCATTTCTCACAGACGAGCGTAAACTGTTGCGTTTCTCTTAATGCGATCATTGAAAAATTTATTTTTTGGTGTATCTGTTACATATGTTTCCCACTTGTGTGTTTCCCACCATCTGTGTAAAGAAAAGTATCGTCTAGAAACAATGTTGAAATGATGTCATGACAGAAATCATTTTGAATAATAAATTTTAAGTAGCTTTGAAAGATCCTGAGGTACATCGCGTCCACAAATTCATGGAAAAGAAAACGATAATGCATGACAACGATATAAAATTGATATGAAACGAATGGATAATGTCACGCGACTCTTGAGTATCTGACGTCAAAAATCCATCAAACATCTCTTGATTACGACAAACGGAATTTTTTTAAGCAGCCCAATAAAAGATATCCCGTCTGTTTTTTTTTATCTTGTGGCGTTGGTGAGGAGCGTTGTCCACGATGTGTTGAGTTTGATGGCGAAAAAAAAAGATGTTGGCCGCGGTGAGGAGATTCGAACCTAAGTCCTCAGGTGTTCGAGGCAGGAGCGTTACTACTGCGCTATGCGGGTCATAATTCTTTTCGTGGATGCTTTGCTAGTATCGTGTGAGCGGGGGACCGCCACAATTCCATAAATTTTTTCCTTTGGTTAAACTGTTTTCAAAAAGATATCTCTCTATGTCAGTGCCGAATTGGCATTGCGGATTTTCGGTATTGCCAGGGCAAAGTATACATCCACACGTAAAAGTGCAAGTTTGTGATAATCGATGATTTCCTCATTTCTAGCGTGAAACGAAACTAAGGTCGATCGGTTTCAGTTATAATTGCCTCTTATATAACTGAAACCGATCTCCACGGTCACGCTCAGTGACATCAAGTAAAATTAAGAAAACAAATTTCGCGCAACATTACAGATTCATACGTTAGATTCGTGCCCTCTTCTCTGCGTGAGGGCACTTCTCTTCTACGTGTTACACGCGTAGAACCCACGCGTTGCGCGTGGGTTTTATTTGTCTTTATTTGGACCTTGGCTGCGCGAGAAGAATCTTAACCACAAAGAACTCGATTAACATAGAATTTACTAATTCAAAATTAATAACGATGACAATTGTTATCTCTGTTGACTACTGTGTAAATTTGCTTCCAACTTATATTTATGAATAAATTTTTATAAATAAAACTACATAATTTATATTTATACGTATCTTATAAGACATACACGTGCAAATACATATATGTACGATATGTTTCATATAAAGTTGACGGACCGCGTAGTTTTACCTAGCATAATTGGACATCACGATCAAAAATATATATATAACAGACATATACGGGTCGTTTTGAACCTTGTCCAAAGATATTAAAATTTCTTTAGATCATTTTAATATACATTTTAATATACGTAGTTTTGGCAATCTAAATTAGTTAAATTATGAAATAAAATAGCAAAATTTTAATTAAAAAACTTAATTAAAAAACTTTAATTGAATATCAAAGGAAATGAACGGAAAAGTAGAGATATCGCCGAGTTTTTTAAAATTCTTGGTATTACCATGTAAAGTCTGTAGCAAAGCTGAATGAAAAGTAATGGAAAACTTGAAATATAAAAATAATTAAATTTTATTATATACTGAAATTAAAAGCATTTGTAATATTATGTGGAGAATATGGAATCTTAACAATTTAAATTATTTAATTTAATAAGTGAATAATCGATCACATGCATAACACAATAAAATATACAATAAAAAAGATTTCTCAGGTCATTTTGGCGAGACCTTGTAGCTAATTATACATTTAGTAAACTTAAATTGATTACGACAAGAGTCGACAAAATAGCTAAATTATTGATTCAGAACGAAATGAAACTTGTGAGACAGAGCATGCAAGAACTCGCGTTAGTCACTGTTACAGCATTGACTTATATAACTCATAGTGTCGCATTATATTTTTCTGCATTGCAGTACATATTTATATTGTGCTTGATTCCTCCTCTTCCTCCGAGACGGCCGAAAACTCGAGCAGAACGTGGTGATAGTAGACCGGCTTTCCTTCATATCGATAATTACGTAAAATATTTCATAGACAATTCCTATCGTTTTCTTTATTCTCATTGTGAAAGAAATACCGAATATACCAATATGCCCAAAATACCGAATAGACCGATATGCTCGTTACCTTTTATCTGTTATACATCCGTCGTATACTTTTTTAACCGATGAGCTGATAGTTTTTGCCGTTCACGGGCACAAACAATTTTAAGCACATAAAATTTTAAATATAAAATATGCGCGTGCATAAAGAAGAAAATCATTGGACCTTAAATGTAGGGCGTTGCTACGCTTTGATCCAGCTATGTCTAGATTATCGATTTTTGCATTCGACAAATAATCTACTGTCACGAAGGTGGGCGGTGCGATTCTTATAAACACATCTATGGTACTGTGCAACGGTGAATCGAAGCTTTATGTGCCACGATGTGATCTACAACATTACAGATTCATTACGGTGTTGGACATTGGAGCGAGATTCGATAATTCGAGACGTGTGTGTGTGTCTTGTACGATTTCAACACGAATCCACCGGTATGGATAATGGTAGCTCGCGTACGACAAATACACGATACGATATTTTTTCACTTTCCCAAATTACTTACTCGACAAATGTATTTTTTAAAACGACGAATAATAATCTATTTGTTCCATCGTAACAATTTAAAAACAAGTGGATACATACGAATAGATAAAAACAAAATGGATCGACTTATCGGTGAGAAGTTGTTGAAATAGAAGAGTTGTGCCGCAGTATTACGAGGCCCGCCGGGTGGCTCGTACAAATATAAGGGCGAAAGGGTGAAAGGGTGACCTAGTAGCCGAGCTCGCGCGCGAGAAACTCAAAGACCTTCCAGCACGCGAGAGACCGTTCGATCTGCGCGCGCGAGGACGGATGAATTCCTCGACGTGGTTTAGGCCGTCGCACGAGGATGGGACCGCCTCGCAGTCCCATGACTCGGTCATATCTGCTATCAGCCTGCCGTATTCGATCGATTCGCGGACGAAGCGCTCCGCGTACCGCGCAACATTCATTTCCGCACTCGTGCATCCGAAACGGAAATGAGCCGTATACCGCGCGGCTGGATGGCTGCTAAATCCAAGGATTCATTGTGATCGATTATTAGCCATTTTCCCGATTAATTAAACAAACATTTATCGCGAGCAAATTTTCCCTCGTCTCGCGTTCGCGCTCGAAACGAATTTTCAAAGGTTCGATCTTCGGTATTTACCGAATACGAACATTTCTATACTACGCGAATTTCAGTATCGCATTTACGATGTGAAAAAAATCTGCTAATGTGCGCCTCGTCAAAGGAACAATCCGAAAACTTAGCGATGATTCATTACGGCATTCGTAAGACGTAAGACGGCGGAATCGAAGAAGAAGTGACGAAACAAGCGGTTTGGAATGAACCAACAATCGAAAATCGCACCGTCTAACGGTATATGCTCTAGTTCATTGCTCTTTGATGTCTGGCGATTCTAGTGCTCCGCAATTCGGTGTGCCGGAGTTTGCGATCGTAATGCGACTCATTCGACTATGGCCACTATTAGCACATTAGGATAGTCAGTAATTACGTTAGTAATCTCATGTCGAGATTCGAATTCAATCGAGTTCCCAATTGAATCTCAAGTGTTCTCGAACGATCGCAAAAAAAGGATATAAGATTAATCACTCGTGAAATACACTAAGTATTAAAGTAACTCCGTATGCTCATTTATGATCGATAAAGGTTCGATCGGAACTTTTTCCGAGGTGGAAACCCTGGTTCTGCTTGGTTTTGCGCGTGACGAATGACACATGCTATATTTATATCTCGCGTGTGTGTTGGGTCGTATCATCGCGCGGATATCGCCGGTGCAAGAATAAGCAAAGTCTTATTTGAACAGTAATTTATTTGATCGGGTAGTTTTATCTAAAAAAATTTTCTTTTTTTAACTAATTTTTATTCGAATTCTCGTGTTAGTCATCAAATAATGATTTTTTTTCCTACGAGAATTATAAATATATAGTACTATATAAATTTATTGTAGACATCATATTCCACAACACCTGTGTATTATTCGAGAATAAGTAAAGGAGGGGAGAGGCGAGAGAAAAAAATGTACGAAAATATGTTTGGTTATGATGACGTGTATGCGTAAATAAGAGACTAAAGAAGGATTTCTTACGAGAGGAAAGTAATTGAAGACAATTTAAATTTTTTTTTTTTTTTTTTTTTTTTTTTTTTTTTTCTATATATAAATCTCTGAATGTGATCATAGATGTGACCGTCAATGATTAATGTGCGACAATCGCACAAACTAAAAGTTTATTGTTTTGTCAATCGATCGCCAAGCTTGTCAAGTATCGTAAACAACTCGCTATCGCGACCTACGACACAATTACAGTGTAGATAGGTCGCATGATCATAGTATCATCGGTATCCCTGACTTTGAATTCGTTGTCGATCTATACTATCTGGCCATATCCCCTTCAATTTTTCAACGGAAGAAAATCAAGGACGTGCACGATCGATAATCTAAAAAAAAAACATAAGAGAGTAACGGGCGTTCGCACGCTTAAGTTTGCTTCGCGACGAGCGTGGACGAGCAATAGGAATGCGATTACATCGTCAAACAATCGATAACCACGACTTATGTCTAATCATCGAACGTTATCTCGATGAAAATACTTCTTCCTCCCATATTATCCGCAATTGTAAGATATGTAATGTAATTTCCAGATATGCACATCTCGATATTTCGAGACAACACTTTTACTTTCGAACACATTGCTATGTGTCCGAGCTAGGTGAAACTTATTTTCTTATTTATTAAATAATAAATATTAATAATTTATCGGCAGCATATAAAGCTGAAGTATCGTAAGAATCATAAGTTTTACCAACAGATATAATAGAGAGAACATATTTACTTAAATTAAAAATAAAATATCCAACACGTTTCGTCTTTTATTAAGAATTGTTAATCGCTCGTTTTATCAATATATGTAAATTGTACGTAGATTGTTAATTGCAACGTGTGTATGAATAGCTAGCAGAAAACTTAGACCAACTTGTTTCGAGTGTGTGTTAAAGTGATTTCTTTAATCGGTTTCCTTGGCCCGATATGTACGATGATAAATGTGTCAGCAAAAATATTCAGTTATTCTCTAGTTATTTCCGCTATAAATGACACCGAGTTTTCTAGGCATCAGAAATCTCGTACGTTACTACGTATCAAACGACTCTGACCTTTACAAAAGTAGGTTCGTTGAACTATCGATTGAAATCTCGAGATGTCAATTGATCGCGTACGTCTTTGTAAAGCTTGTAAAGCTCAGTCGAGACTTAACGAGTCAACTTTGTATTACGTATGACGGTCTCCCTATTGCCTTCTTTCAGGAACGTATTCTTTAGCTGAAAATAGAAAAATAGAATAAAATTTGGATCGAAACAACACGCTATCGCTATACCGCGCCTGCCTGTACTACTATGCAGATAAATATTACGTTGTTGACGAATGATTAATTTCCGTTACAGCCAACAACATGTCACAGATAAACTCGTAATATTCGAAGCAACGTAAGGGACGAAGGAAGAGGAAGAGAAAGAAAAAAAATAAATGACACAGAAATGGCGTCTACCAGTGGGCACAAGAGAAACGGCTCCAGCTCGAGCATGTTTGCGCACAAACGCACCGAATCGGGGGGTGGTTTCGTCGGTTACAAGCGACCCGAGGGCGGTCACAAACGTGCCGAGAGTATATCCAGTGCCTTCGGCCACAAACGATCCGAGAGTGGCCACAAGAGGAACGAGAGCAGCGGCGGTTTTGGTCATAAGAGGTCCGAGTCCGGCAGTAATTATCACGCTGGACACCGGCGTAACGAAAGTATGTACGCGATGACGGGCCTCTACGCGGAAAGCGCCGGCACTGGCACCGACGATAATGCGGACCCGCTCCAGACGACCACCGGTAGACTGACCCACGACACCGTCATAAGGTGTCACAGTAGAAATCCGAGTTCTGGCCTTGTGGACCATAGGTGAGTGGCTATATACGATCAGACTCCGTTGATTCGTCGACGGAGTCAATCGCCAGATGACCATTACTCGAACCCTTGCACTACTCACACTTTTATGATTATTGGTTTTATCCTTGTTGTAAGGAGCGTACAAGGATTAAATTTTTTTTTTTCTTTTTTTTCCCCCCTCAATAAATGTGCTTTGATTTTTCTTTAATGAATACTCTCTCGACAATATCATCGTACACTATTTTTGTTATTTTTACGTAATTATTTTTACAAACGGCTTCTTTATTCATTAAGAACTCATTCTGAGTTCTAAGAGTATATAGCCTTTTAAATCTATTATTTTTGACACTAATGCTTCGATGTCATAAATCCATGCAAAATCCCTACTTTTACTCCGATAAGTTTGATTATTGAAATGATAGCAAGGCATGATCACAAATGTGACAAAAGAGATTATGGGAACGCGAAAGACAGCTGATAAAAGTAGAAAGTGAAAGCACATGATGGCCATGACATATTTTGTCATGCGTCATATAGATTTAGCTCGCGCCTCACCTTTTTTATAATTATTCCAACGTTCTTCTCGTTGCTTCATCGTTTGCTTTGCAATGAATTGTATCGGAGAAAGCTTCCAAAGGTTTGTTGAACAAGTATGACGAAAATGCAACACACGCTGTATAATCAATGAATGATAAAGCAGTGTTGGCACATTTATACCTTTAACACCCGAAACGAGAAAATTATGCGCACGATAGTGATTTCCGTCACTTTGTTTGTGTAATTTAAAGGAAAATGATGCTTTAATTGTCTCACTTTCTAATGTAACTAATTTAACTTTGCGCTACCAGTTAACAAATATCGTAACCGATATTTCTACACGCCGCGCCATACAGCACAATGTATTCATGCTTCGTTTTTCTTGTTTCTATTATTTTTCAGAGATTTTATCATCAAATGTCACAGCAGAAATCCCAGTGCTTCTATGGTGGACAGGTAAAATTAATATTGTTATTTAATGTTGTATACACATGTATCTCTTGTGTGATTATTATTACCTACTCTTCTTGCGTTGCACTTGCTTCAAAAAAATATTGCAACCACGTATTAAAAAAAAAAGAAAGCGATACTTTTTTTTTATCAGAGCGATGTATTATCGCATTCGCATGGATTTTGCACAGAACTCGACTTACTGTCGGGCGTGCCGCATGATTCAGTTTATTTTCCGAACTCGATCTTTATCTTTTGTAATTACTCATTGTCGTTCTCACTTTGAGACAGTCAGTCGTTTATTGTTTGATCTCCTTGAGTATCCAGGGCGGAGAAGGAGAGGGCGCAAACTCCGCCGTTTAATCCGGACTCCAAGGACTGTGGAATTCTTAATTGTAGGCCGGCCTTCATTCAAAGATTTGCCGGAATAAAGGTATACTGTTTAAATATCGTCTTGTACTCTATTCGGAAGAAAATATGTAGAGACGTGTAGAAACTTTATGTAGACACGTTTGAAATATTTTCAAAGAGATATGACAGCATATAATATTGATTATATATTGTATATTACTACAAAAATCTCGGAGAGATGAAAGCATTTTCGCGTTGAGCAGGGAATAAATGGTGCGGTGTATGCGGATGTACAAAGCAAACCTTGTATGATTCATATATCGCGTTCGAAAGGATATACAATCCATTCTGTTAAAATTGAGAGAGAGAGAGAGAGAGAGAGAGAGAGCGCAAATTATCGATACAGTGTTTCACACGAATGTATTGCATACGCATCATCATTTGATTTGGACGCGAGATGGAGATGTCTATAGCTATTGTAATAAGCTACAAGTTCCAAGTTTCTATGTACATGTAAAATGTTATGTACAACGTACACGTATATACGCACACGTATGTACGTACGCGTGAGAATGTAGAAATTCCAAAGATTACGCCGTGTCTTCAAATAGAGCTACTTATTTACTGCGAATGTATTGTTTGCGATTTCTTAAAATTTTTAAACGTCGCAAGTAAAGTTTAATCAAACTTTCTCATGTCTTATATGTTTTTTTTATACGTTAATGATATTTCAGGTGTTCGTATTTCTTCTGTCGTTCCTTGTTACGTTGCAACAAGCGCTTAGCTCAGGTTACATCAATTCTGTGATAACAACCATAGAAAAAAGGTTTGAGATCCCGTCCAGTCTTTCGGGCCTTATTGCGAGCTCTTACGAGATCGGCAATGTTATCACTGTCATTTTTGTCAGTTATCTCGGCAGTCGCAGACACATACCCGTGTGGATAGCGATAGGTATAATCTTAATTTTATTTAACGACTAATTCCATTCTCCCTCGCTCCTCCCCTCTTTCTGTCAAGCGCAATCTCTATGCTATATTCAACGTTGGATGAATGTGTCAATTTTTATGTGTATTTTATAATTTAGGTGCAGTGATAATGGGATTGGGATCGATGATCTTTATGGTGCCACATTTCACAGCAGAACCTAACTTGACTACAACTGCGAATCATTCCAGTTCGGATAATATCTGCCGTGGAGTATCCTTACGCGAGCAAGATATGGGTTTGGGTAAGTATTTACAGTTTTAGGTGATTTTTACGAAATTTGGTATTATTTATATATTAATAAATTTTAATATATAAAAAAGCGTTGATAAAGATAATAATTACAAAATTTGTCACCTTGAAAATTTATCTACAGGTCGTCTTTCGTCGGGATTATCTTCACCTCCTTTAGCACCACATAACAATTTAAGAGGTGACAATTGTATACAGGGATCCCCGTCTACAGCTGGACCTGTCATGTTATTTGTACTTGCTCAGTTACTATTAGGATGTGGAGGCTCTCCTTTATTTACTCTTGGTACTACTTACATAGACGATCACGTGAGGCCAGAAAGTGCGTCTTTATATATCGGTGAGTTTGTTATTAGACGCTATAAAACTGTACGCATAAATATCAAAAATAAGTATCAAAAATTTTACTTTATTTCTTTAGGCTGCATGTACAGTATGGCAGCTTTTGGACCAGTTTTAGGTTTCCTTCTTGGAGCGTACCTTTTATCCTTTCATATGGATTCATTTTCTGGGACAATTATAAGTATTGGTAAGGAAAATAGTTTTTGACATTTTTATTGTTTATTTGCTTTCTTTTAAATTGTTACCTTTTAAATAATGAGGATGTGTGTGCGTGCGTGTGCATGTGTGTGTGCGCGCACGCTTACACACACGCACACACGCGCACACACGCACACACATCCTTATAAATTTATAAATTGGAACAGATCCTGGAGATCATAGATGGGTCGGTATGTGGTGGGGCGGATTCCTACTTTGTGGGTTGCTCCTCATTTTAGTAGCGATACCCTTCTTTAGTTTTCCTAAAACTCTACAACGTGAAAAGGAAAAAATACGTATTATAGAAAAGAATAAACCACTGACTCAAAAAGAAAAGGAACAATCGAAAGAACCTAAAAAAGAGACGATTGACGATAGTGGTTATGGCAAAGATGTTAAAGGTAAATTTTGTTATTTCGATATTCAAAATAGAACTTGTTGAGCTTTTGCTATTAGATTCATCATATGAAAAGTATAATAAATTAGAATTACAAGATTGTTAATTTTATTTTTCTTATGATAGATATTCCGCGAAGTATGTGGAGACTTGTTTGCAATCCGGTCTATGTCGTAACATGTTTAGGAGCATGCATGGAGTTGGTGATTGTGTCTGGTTTCGTGGTATTTTTACCAAAATATCTCGAAACACAATTCAGCTTGGGAAAAAGTCAAGCCAGCATCTTTACTGGCTCTGTCGCCATACCAGGCGCCTGTATTGGAATCTTCTTTGGCGGATGTATGCTAAAACGTTTAGAATTAAGGCCGAAGGGTGCAGTGCAATTTGTTCTCGTCTCAAATATTATTTGTTTGGTGTGTTATGGTCTGTTATTCTTCCTTGGCTGCGAAAACGTAAAAATGGCTGGGACCACTATTCCATATTTTAATAGTAGTACAAAGGGTCCTGAACCCTTTCAAGTAAATCTCACTGCCGCATGCAACTTTGGTTGTGAATGCCGAATGACGGATGTTGAGCCGGTTTGCGGAAATAATGGTCTGACTTATTTTAGTCCGTGTCACGCAGGTTGCACTGCCTTCAGTTCCAAATCGAATTTTACAAATTGCGCATGTAAGTCTTGTTATATCGATACAATACTCATGATATTTCTTCTTAGAGGAAAGTACATTGGAATTTTTGTCCTAGGTATACATGGCAATTTAACTATGTTACCACCGGCTGCTCCGGAATTTGCAGAAGTGACCGTTGTACCAGTAGCAACTGCAGGTCCTTGTACTTCACCTTGTAGAACTATATTTCCATTTCTTATTCTTTTGTTTTTTATGACATTTATTGTCGCTGTAACTCAAATGCCTTTACTCATGATAGTATTACGGTAAGTAGCATTTTTATATACTATATACTAAGTATATATGAATTGCTCTAAATAAACTCTGTTGTTTCATATAGATCTGTTTCCGAAGAAGAAAGATCTTTTGCTTTGGGTATGCAATTTGTAATTTTTCGACTATTTGGTTATATACCGGCACCAATACTGTTTGGCAATTTGATTGACTCTACGTGTTTATTATGGAAAAGCACTTGTGGAGAAAAGGGAGGTCGATGTTTACTCTATGACATTGAACAATTCAGATACAGGTTATACTCTCACGTGTATATTTGCTATGCATATTTGAAATGTTTTTCTTTTCCTTTTTTTTTTATGTGCAAATAATTGTTCGTGATCGATTTTAGATACGTCGGTCTATGTGCTGGAATAAAAATCTTAGCTTTGGCGTTATTTTTGATTGATTGGTGGCTTGTAAGAAGGAGAAGACAAATGGAAGATCAACCGCCATCTTTTACTGTCAACGAGTTTGTAGGGTCAATTATCAGTCTAGATAAACGTAAGTGATTAGAGTATATTATATTGTGTGTTTTGCGACTGCTGACGCAAAAAAATAACAAACATTGTCGAATATACGTAGTGTTCGAAGAAAAACCGCATCAGAATGTAGGAGATGGTGATGCGACTCTACCAAGTTCCGAAATTGCAACGCCATCCTCTATTTCGTCGCCTACAGAACCTACCAAATCAACGAATCTCGAGGAAACAGGGTCTTCGAATCAAACGCAAGATTCAGTGGAGACGACAAATCGCTCAAAAAATATGGAAATTGAAGTTCCCGATACGAGGCAAGCGCCACTTGCCTTACTAGAGCCAGACGTTGAGATCAAACCTTCAAGTGTTATGATGGAAAATCGTAACCGCAATGTTTAATGTTTATTTTACATTAGAAACTATAGAAATAAATATATCAAATTGGTGATACATAAATTTGTGACAAATTACATATACATTCAGGTAAAATAGATTTTGCCTGAATAATATATAGATCACATATCCACATACACGTACATGCATCATTTATCTCTTCTAGGTTTGAAAAAAAACTACATTACATTATCTATAGGAAGAAAATAATAGTTTTCTATGATATTAAGAACATGCTAAAGGGATGTATAATAATGGACCCAATTTCATTCTTTTTCTTTTTATGTATGGAATATTATGGACGTGTGTGTGTGTGTGTGTGTGTGTGTGTGTGTGTGTGTGTGTGTGTGTGTGTGTGTGTGTGTGTGTGGTGTGGTGTGTAAGTTGCTATTTATTATTCGAGATAACTTGTCACAAATTTAATGAATTCAATTTCTGAGTTGATTACTTTTAGGAAATATCATTAGAATGTAAAAAAATTTTTACAGCAATCATATATACGTCAATAAGTAGATACGTAATGCATAAATGTAGTTCATTTCTCAGATGTACAATTCAAGATTGTATTACTCATGGCACATTTAGATTTATATTGTTACTACGTACAATGTTAATGAGATTAGATATATACGCAAGAGAAGTAACTACGCGCGAATGTGCAATGCGGATAAATTTCTATTGTCCGAATGATATCATGATAAAATAACCTTGCATTATTGCAAGAAAAGGCCAACGTAACGACGAAATTGTAAATATGAAAATTCCTGCCTTAAGAAATACAAGACTATAGACAAATGTATATTTAAAAATATAAACTAAGTATCAGAATTCAAGACAAGATCTATATGATATCAGTAATAATATACAGAGCAAAAGTTACGATTTATTTTACGACTAGAAAAGATAGATTTTTCTCGAAACGAGTAGTCAATTTAATATAGTAAGATATCTATAAACGAAAATTAATGTAACATGAGTAATCTCTATCGTTGAACGCGTTGATCCTTATTTTATAATTTTTCTGTAAATAGGCATAAGCGTAGATAAAATTGCGCACCGTTAAGTCGGATATGATCTCTAATCCCTCGTTTCTTTTTATTCTTCATTTCTAATTTAGTCAACTATTTTAATCTTTCAACAGAGTCTTAGAAAGTAATATTCCAAAAAATGTATAAATCATCATATCTTGTATGAGCATACAAACGATGCTTCCAAGCAACGAAACTGATTCGAGTCTTGTTTGCACTGAATGGCTCGGTAAATCAATTAATAATTAATATTAATATTATTGTTTTGTTTCTCAAACAAATTCTGGCTTTATAAAAACAATTTATTCTATATGAAAAATCTATTTGCTTTGTACCTGAAAACCTTTTGAAGAATCCATTTCAATACAAAAAGAAATATAGAATTACTCAGGAATAAAATTTTGTAGACACGGTAGAAGCACAATTTTAATTTAACTCGAAATTAGAAATTCAAAAGTATATATATTATCGTTAAATGAAATTATATAGCATAGAAGAAAACTTCGTCTTGTTGCACTTGTATGCATTTTTAATGAAATATTTTAGAATACTGAGCCACAAATAGCTATTTTGGAAATGATTTAGATGTGCTTTACGCATATACGTTTGCTGGTCAATTGGTCAATATATTTTTCTATACACTATTCACTTGAATGAGGGCACTAAATAATTTTTGTATAAATTTCTTAGAAGAATAGTTTTATTTAGTTTCGATTTTATCATTTTACCCATTTGGCTCGCCACTGTCAATTTTTCAAATTGTAATACACATTGCGCTATATTTTAGAAAGATATTTCGCGAGATTAATATAAACTTCATCAAAGTCGACCGTTCGCACCCAGTTTTGAGACATCGGTGTGTAATCTCTCCCCCCGTAACACTACATATTAAATAATTATATATATTATATATCTACTTTGTGATATAAACTTCTTCCGAACGGTAACCTTTGAAGAAGACCATAGAGAATAATAACAAGTGCTGTGAATAGAGGGAAAATGCATACGTTAAATCAAATTTAATTCAATTTACATAGGAAGAGATGCGAATTAACATCGGATCTCGTTCCAAGCGATTATACTGTAAATAATTATAGTGATTTATATTGAGAAAAAAATTTAAAGCTAAAAAAGAAACGCGTGTGTTACATTATCGTTCGCAAGGTTGCCATGATAAAAGCGATATTTCTAACTTTTACGCATATTGATGAAATGAAGAAAGGAAGATAAATGAGTGTGTAATCGTTTTCGCAAAAGATTGAAACGTTACGCGGATAATTTATAATTTATACGTAGCTCACATTTTTTTATGGACTTTCAACAATGTTTACTTAAATATTTTTATAAGAATTTTTCCCCTATACACGTGTTTTTTTTTTAAATACCAACGATGCGATACCAACAATGCCTACAATTACTGAATTTTTAGCTGCATTTTTGATTTTTCTATTATTCTTTTGGTTAGTCTTACAATTAACATTAGTTTTAACCGTATTACATTGCTGTAATTATGGCTATTATTACTACCACTATTATTTCTCTATCGTTGCTATTGCGAATATTATTGTTATCGTTGTTCCGCCACTATTACTTATGCTATATAATATAATTTTTACTATAATAGTAATACATGTCTAATTTTACGCAAACGCTGTTCAGTGTTTGATCCAACTTTCGTTACAATCGATAACATTATTACGTGTGACATTCCAGAGCTACAGTAAATAAAACAAACTGTTTTAAAAAAGATATCTATGCGTGCATGTGGGCGTGCGTCATGTATGTGCGTGTGTATGTGTTTGTAACAAATTGAAACGAATGAACGAGAAAAAGGCGAAACAAAGCGATCGAATATTCATGTATTAGGAATCATAATACATATATTTAATTAAAAAACTGTTATGTACATATATATGATTATATTATAATGATATAAGCTGCTTATAGACGTAATGTATTTTTTGTAGGGACCATAAAATATAAGCGGAATATATACTGTTATGAGTATTAACGAGTGATACAAATAATTGAATATTGAGTGATTCTTTGTCACGTTTGTGAAAGCAATATGCAATCGATTATGCGACCTGGAAGTAAAGAACAAAAAAGAAAGAAGGATTGTGAGAGTAAATGCTATCACTTATGTTGCTCCTTGATAAATCGTCTTTATACAATTATGATTATTGGGATTAGTAAAATTATGATTTTTGTTAAACAATAACGCATATAAAAGCATATAACGCAAAATATTAAGTAATAAATGTAAATAATACGAGAGAAATATTAGAAATTTAAATATGTAATTTTTATTGCTTTAGAACAGTATGGGTTGAATTATCTCGAGCCGAGATGTACGCCTTAAAGATAAAAAGATTAAATAACTAATTCGCAGGAATATTACTCATTCAAAAAAAATAATACTTTTTCGATATATTAAGTAACATTATCGAATATTCTGCTAAAAGAGAGAGGAGCAAAAGGGAATTTTAATAAGACATCTGAATTGTAATCGCAAAAACTTTGATGGAAACAAAAAATATTCGATTATCAATCTTTTGTATTTTAACTTCATTTTCAGGATTCATATTACAAATTTTATCTACGTTGTATTCATCAGCAAAATTTTTATCCATTTCGTTTCTTTTCGATTTTCGAGAAATTTAAATTATAAACGAAAAAATTGTTTATTGAAACACCAAATGAGACCAAATGAGAAACGATAATCAATTGTGAAAAAAATTATAATTCTTAATCACACGTTCTCATTTTCACTCAAGAAAACAAAGCTAATTCATTATAGTTGAGATCTTTTACTTGACTCGATACAAATCTAATTTTTCGAAAATAAAGCACAAACAATGTATGTACAATGTACAATGTATGAAGGAATAAATGTTTTGAAAACTGTTAATTTTGAGTCTGATTGTATATCGTATATATTTGAAATAGTTTTTACAAGATACAGAAGCAATTTTTATAGAATTAATGGCAGCACGATCCCATAATTAACATATTTGTGATTAATTTTACATTTCTAAGATAATATGCGTTATTTAATAACATTTGTATAAAATTTTTTATATTAACTTTATAAAGTTTTCTCTCTCTCTCTCTCTTCTCTCTCTCTTCTCTCTACTCTCTCTCTCT